CGGGGCCAAACAAGGGGCCGGGGGGCCTAGGGGGGCCGAGGGGCCTAGGGGGCCGAGGGGCCAAACAAGGGGCCGGGGGGGGCCTGGCGCCGTGCTGTGAGGTGGGGCCGAGGAGCCTAGGGGCCGGGGGGCCTAGGGGGGCCGAGGGGCCTAGAGGGCCGAGGGGCCAAACAAGGGGCCTGGGGGGGCCGGGCGCCGTGCTTTGAGGTGGGGCCGAGGGGCCTAGGGGCCGCGGGGCCAAACAAGGGGCCGGGGGGGCTAGGGGGGCCGAGGGGCCTAGGGGGCCGAGGGGCCAAAACAAGGGGCCGGGGGGGGGGGGGCTGGGCGCCGTGCTTTGAGGTGGGGCCGAGGGGCCTAGGGGCCGCGGGGCCAAACAAGGGGCCGGGGGGCCTAGGGGGGCCGAGGGGCCTAGGGGGCTGAGGGGCCAAACAAGGGGCCGGGGGGGGGGGGGGGGGGGGGGGGGGGGGGGGGGGGGGGGCGGGCGCCGTGCTTTGAGGTGGGGCCGAGGGGCCTAGGGGCCGCGGGGCCAAACAAGGGGTCGGGGGGCCTAGGGGGGCCGAGGGGCCAAACAAGGGGCCGGGCGCAGGCTAGGTACGGGGCCGGGTGCTGGGCAGATACGGGGTCGGGCGCTGGGCAGGTACGGGGCCGGGCGCTGGGCAGGTACGGGGCCGGGCGCTGGGCGCGGAATGGGGCCGGGCGCGGGCTAGGTACGGAGCCGGGCGCTGGGCAGGTACGGGGCCGGGCGTTGAGCAGGTACGGGGCCGCGCGTTGGGCAGGTACGGGGCCGGGGCGCGGGCTAAGTACGGGGCCGGGCGCGGGCGTTATACGGGCCTGGCGCGGGCTAGGTATGGGGCCAGGCGTGGCGACAGACGGGGCCGGGCGCTGGCTAGGTACGAGGCCGGGCGCTGGCTAGGGTCGGGGCCGTGCGCTGGGCTAGGTACGGGCCGGGCGCGGGGCTAGGTACGAGCCGAGCGCGAGCGAGAGACGGGGCCGGGCGCGGGCAGGGTACGGGCCAGTCGCGAGGCTAGGTACGGGCCGGGCGCGGGGCTAGGAACGGGGCCGAGCGCGAGGCTAGGTACGGGCCGGTCGCGGGCGTCGACGGGGCGCGGGCTAGGTACGGGGCCGGGCGCGGGTGTCGACGTGGCGATCGCGGGCTAGGTACGGGCCGGGCACGGGCGTGAGAAGGCACGGGCCGAGGGGCCAAACACGGGGGCCGCCGAGCGCGGGCTAGGTACGGGCCAGGCGTGGGCTAGGTACGGGCCTATCGCGGGCGCGGTACTGGCAGGGCGCGGGGCTAGGAACGAAATAGTAGGTAGGTGGTGGGCCCAAGAGTAGCCTACTCTAATACCATGTTGACATAGTAGCTAGAATGACGAGAAATGAGTGAGATTAGGAAAGGAAGGGAGGTACAAGTAGAATGTCGAGAGAAAGTCTGTACCCCCTAAGGCTAAACCCACTATAGCCTAGACAACTGTAAACACATAAACTAAACCTAGATACAACTAAGCATATATGTTTGACACTCGTGTATGAAGCCGGCCCGATTGAACTCAAGGGCTATGCCGACTCGGACTACGCGGGAGATCCAAGCACGCGCAAAAGTACCTCCGGGTATGTCTTCACCTTGCTTGGGGCAGCCGTGAGTTGGCAAAGCAAGAAGCAACCAACCGTGGCTCTAAGCTCAACGGAAGCGGAGTATATGGCACTCACTCAAGGTGCCATGGAGGCAATATGGTTACGGCGTCTTCTAGCGGAGCTTGGGCATCCTCAACCCAACCCAACTCCTCTCTTTTGTGACAACCAAGCCGCCATAAGCCTCTCTCACAATGCCGTCCTTCACGGGCGAACCAAGCATATCGAAGTGAAACATCACTTCATTCGTGAGGCGGTTGAGAAGGGTGAGGTCAAACTCACTTATGTGAGCACCAAAGCTCAACCCGCGGACTTCCTCACTAAACCACTCCCTAAGGATTCATTCCGTGCATGCTGTGAGCGTGTTGGATTGAGCACCTAGTGGCTTGGGTGCAAGGGGGAGTGTTGGAGGTTGAGTGAGGCAAGGTTTTGCCCCCAACCACAGAACGGTGCTTCTCAAGTGTTCCAAGAAGTTTGGCTTCACTGCAGGTCTCGAGAAGGTGCAGGTTGACTTCGAGAGACTTGCATTTCGGTGCCACATGGCAGCACAAGAAGAATCGAGTCTCAGGGAGAATTCGATTCGGTGAAATTCGAGACTCGAATTTCACCCCTTCGAAATGTTACTCGAACATTCGAGTGTACCGCGGTTCGAGGTTACATGTACGGTTCGATGTTGATTGCATGCTATAAAACTAGTAGCTTTGTATGCATGTTTCATACTGAAATCAAGAATCACTTTGTATGTGATACATTCGACTACAAAATCCAAAGAGCTCCCATCCTTTGTTCTAAGAGCACTAGCAAGCACATAAACGCCTAGAACTCCCTCGTTACTTGGGCGAATCGCGTGTTTGACGGCTCGTTGGAAAGCCAGCATAGTGCTCTATCGTTTAGTACAAATCCCAGTTCCTGCAAAGTAGAGGAGAGTCCTCTACAACACCTTCCACCAAGAAAAGGAGATGTAGAGGCTTCTCCTCTACTTTGCAGGAACTGGGATTTGTACTAATAAGTAGAGCACTGTCTTAACTTTCCAACGGGCCATGGATCACCTTGATCGCCTAAGTATCGAGCGAGATATGGCTACTAATGTGAAAGTTATGCTCTATGTTGAAGGATAGGATGCTCTCTGGAGTTTGTGTCGAGTTGAACCGTGTATAGGAAACTCTGATTTTCAGTATATTGCATGCATACAAAGCGATCAGATTTATAGTAAGCAAATAACATCGAACCGCGCATGTAACACGAACCGCTACATTTCGCGTCGCTAATGCGCCGCGCGTAACATTTCGGTTGGGTGAAATTCGGTAGCCGAATTTCGCCGAAACAAACCGAACTCGCCTTCCAAATGAAGGTTGGACTGTGGTGCCGCCACGTGGCACCGAACAAGGAGTCTCCTGAAGTCAACCGGTGGCTCCCCACCTATCCCTAGTCAAAGGGATCGAAGACACCGAAGTGCCCTTGGTGGGTTGGGGGCATACAACCGCCCCACCACCGAACTCCCTCCAACAAAAGGGAGTCGGTGCCCCACAGGCCGGTTGAGGCATCGCCCAGGGTTCGTGGTGCCTGGCTAGGCAGGGTTTGGCGGGCTGCATGCACAAGTGGCACAAGTGCTCCTTCGCCGCCGAGCCAGCACGTCGACTTCGCGTCCCCTGGCTTCGCTCGGCGAGGGGACGCAATTTCGCATGCGCGCGGTGCGACGTTTCGGCCGACACGTGTCGATTTCGCAGCGGATCGCGAAAACCCTGCGCCGTGATGCGAGCAATCCAATTTCGCCGGGTTCAAAATTTCGCATGCACCCGATGCGAACCCGCGTGGCGTCACCGCAACGGGTCGCGAAATTGTCGAGCATCCCGAGGGGAGCACCCGAATTTCGCATGGCCCTCGCCTGCCCGTCCGGACAGGTCGCGAGGGTCACTAGGACGTCGCGGGCAGTAGGCACGGGAGGGCTGCCTTTGCGCGAGGGTTACTTTCCCTCGCGCAAGGGCTCGCCAGCTCGCTGCCCCCACCCGGTAACGTGGGGCGCTGTTCAATCACGCAGGGGGGTTGCGGGGCGGCGGTCGTGCGCTCGGCCTGGCCCTGGGCCAGGCTGGCGGGCCCGCACGCGAGTCAGTTGCCCGCCTCGTCAGGCCTGGCTCCGATGACCCCTCTCGACGACACTGGCAAATCGGTTCTGACGACCGATTTGCGCTGGGATGTTCGGAGCAATATCAGTAGTAACATATGAGTTCTGGTCGAAACAACCACGTTGAGGCTGCCCAGGACAGGGAAACAGCATTCCCGGTGTCGCACTGCATTACGACTCAAACCACTCCATACATCCAGATGCACCCTTGGTGGCTATTGGACTTCACCAGCTGCCAGATGAATAGCCTATGAACTGCCACGTCGCCTCGCGTACGACAGAATGAGATTGTACAATACACCCTTTGTTTGCATGTGTGGGACGCGTCGTGGAGTGGGGATGTAGCAGTGTGCGACATGGTTTGGTTGGGATCCCATACACATCCTTCTTTGGAGAAGCTTTGCGCTGTACACATCCTTTGTATTTTCACAACTGTATTTTCCATCCATGATGCCTAGCAAATGAATCACAAATTGACGCACTGTCTATTCATATTAATAAATCCAGCAAATAATGTAATCTGGCAGGTTGTGAAGTGGGCAGGTTGTTGACTGTACAGCAAGAAACGAACAACTGTAGATCACGGGTGATGCTTGTTCCCTATGAGCGTGAGATTACGTCTGAAGCATGGGATTGCCCCAACCTTCAAGAAGCTGGTTTGCTGCCATCGGCCAGCCACTCTTCAAGGACCTTGACGTTGTTGGCGTGACGTGACGACGATAACATGACTCCTGGATATTCAGAGTTTGCAAACAGCCTATTCTGCCCTGAAACGACAATTGTTGGAGGGTTCCCGCCAGGTGTGCTGCTGTAAAAGTTGGCATCAACGATCGGTAGTAAAAATTGCAAGCAATCTGCAGGTGTGCAAAAGGACTATGGTAGTTATTGTTGCTTTATAGTGAAGCTAGTACCCTGCAAAACAATGTCAATCTGGCCTAAAAGGACTCTTATATTGGTGTGGAAGCACACAAGTGTGTTAGCAGCCACCATCCGACGATTCAGTGACATTCTCGTGACCAGCCAAAGCTCCGTAGGCTTGATTGCTAGTTTATCCGCAAGACCTCTTCCGATGGAATCCATGGCTTCGTCACATGCCGCTGCATGCGGTGCACATTGGTCGCATTTTGACTCCGCATTGTTAGCCCGCCTTTTATGCCGAAATCCTCTCCGCGACTGCTGCGGCAGCGGCGGCAGCGGCGAAGAGCACTTTGCGGACAACGTAACCCTGGCGAGTATCCCTTCCAACATGACAAACCCCATCGCCCCTGGCGGTACAGATGGTGGCGGCGAACGCGGCGCATTTTCCGGCAGTCCAACTAGCAAAGAAGAAAAGGCGGAGTCGTATCAGTGGAAGAAATACGGGCATAAATTCCTCTCTTCTCAGAATGCGAAAAGGTGCTGAAAGAGCTGGAATCGTGATTGTTATCATTTATTGTATTTTGCAGTTTTTCCTAGCTTTGTGCAAGTGTAACGTTACAGTTTCCAATTCTTTTGTGTGTCTTGTAATATTAACGAAGCACTTCTATTCGGAAGCCCTATTCTGTCCCCTTGTTTCAAGTTACAGCCTACAACCTCCGCCGCCCTAATCCCTTTGTTCCGCCCTAATCCCATCATGATCGTACCCTCGCAGGTTCTACTACCACTGCACGGAGCGCGACACCACCGGATGCCCCGCGAAGCTCATAATCGATAAGGTCCCGAAGAAGAAGAGCAAGAACGGCCGGCGCGCGGAACTTAAGCACTTGGTGGCGCGGGAGGTTCCAGGATCCTCCGCGCGGCGACCGCCGGTTGATGGAGCCGTCGTTGCGGCCGATCGCGAGTCCGGCTCGCCGCGACCTGCGGTCACTGATCGGGAGGAGAAGGGGGAAAAGGGGGACGATTCCAGTTTCGGATGGGAGGAGAATCGGGAGATTCTCGACGCGCTTCCCGTACTCGAGCGACGCGTGGATCGCACGCTCACCCCGCGCCGCTTTTGGTGCCGCAATCGGCACAATCACCTACCGCCGCCGCAGCAGCCGCTCCATATGGTCGTCTCCGCCGCCGCGGTCGCGCAGCCCCGCATGTACATCACGGCGGCGGGCGCGGGCGCGGTTATTGCTTCCGCCTCCGCCTCGGTGCTTCCGCCGCCGCCAGCGGGTATCATGACCGTTCCGCCCGCTGCGTCACTTACCCCGACGATCGCGCGGACGGCCTCCTCCACCAGCGGCGCCGTGAACGCCGGCGGCGGCGGCGGCGGCGGCGGCAGCGGCGTAGGGACTCCACGCGGCCCGTTGACCCCGAACTTGGCGGACTGGCCGTTTCCGCCCAAGTCGCGCAGCCCACCGGTGGGGCCAAGGAGCCCCGAACCTGCGACGGCGGGGCTGGAGCGCGGATCTCCGCTTTGCGGGTTTCCGCCGAGCGGATCTCCGCCATGCCCGCACGCAGGTCGGAAACGGCCGCGGAGCCCGACGCGCGCGTCGGCGGGCGATCATCACGCGACTCGTACTACTACTAAGGGCTTCGCCGCGTGCGGCGCAGGCGCGGGCGCGGGCGAGGACCCGTGGTATCAGGGCAGTGCAATGATGGCCCGCCGCCAGCGGAGCGGCAGAGATTGTGATGTGCTTGCCGTCAAACGCGGCGACCCTTCGTTGCACCCGCACCCAGTGCCGCCCGCCGCGCCCGGACCGTCCATTTTCCAATATTTATTCCCGCACGTGGGCGCACTCAGTGCGAGGTCGACCCTTGAAGCCCCTCTGCTCTCCTCGGTGCTGGAGTCACTACGCCCGACCGCCACTAGTACCGCCGCTGCTAAGGCTGCTACTGGTGCCGCTGCTGCCGCCGCCGGCGCTACCGCTGCGGCGGGCGCGCGGCAAAGCGCGAGCGGATACCATGGCGGGCAGCTGGGGGGACTCGCGGGCGCGCAGAGCCCCGCCGCGGTGGAGGTAGGCCTGACGGCGCGACTCGTGTTCCCCCGCGGCGTCCGTGTCTCCTCCGCGCACGGAGATACCGCTGACGCGGGAGCGATTTCCACAGACGCGTGGGAGGCGTCCGCGGACGCAAACGCGGTGACGGAGGCGGAGGGCGCGAGTGACGTGGCGCCTGGGAAGGCGGAGGAGGGGTTTGATACGCTGTGGTCGTATGTGGAGGCGAATCTGCGGCAACGCGTGGCGTCACAAGCAGCAGCAGCAGCAGCAGCCGTGGCTGCAGCTACTGCCGCTGCTGCTCCGGTGGGGGTGGCATCGCAAGCAGCAGGTACTGCTGGGCCAAATGGTTTGGTGATGAATGAGAGCAACATGGTTCTGCACAGGCTGGCGGCAAGCCTGCCACGTGGGCTTCTAGGTTTGGCCGAGGCTCAGCGAGCGGAGGCACCACAACAGGCTGAGGAAGGTGCTACTCATGAGTCATTCTTGTTACATGCTGGCTCGAGCTGCCCTGTTCTACCCCCTCTGTTGTCCTCCATCCCTGCTGCTTCCGCTTCTGCTGCTGCTGCTGCTGCTGCTGCTGCTGACGGTGGCATGGGCACGGGCATGGCGGGCAGAAGATTCGAAGAGATTCGAGCGCTCTACGTTCAAGGGCTGCTGGGCGGTCGGGGTCTGGTGGGGAGCGGTGGTGAGGGGTTGGTGGGGATGGACATTCACCCCTCAAAGAAGAAAATGAGTGCGCTTACTGGGGGAGGAGTGGATGAGATGGAAGGGAGGAGGGTGTGTGTAGACAAGGGAAGAGTGATGCTGAGGGAGGCAGGAGGAGAGGGAGGAGGAGTGGTTGCACGCGTGGCAGTGGAGATGGATTTGATTGGTCAGCTTGGTGACGGGACACCTGTCGGCAGACAGGCGGCAGGCAGTGGTGCTCCTCAGGTGCTTTCAACAGGCCTGTGTCTCTGACGCTCAGGTGCTTGCAACAGAGCTGTGCCTTTGATGCTCAGGTGCCTGAAAGCATCATTCGATACGTCTGTGTTTCGGCCAGTTTCATACATCATGAGAGCGAACCCAAGTGAAACATTCAAGCTGCTTCAACCAGGGAGTGAGCTCCATCAAGCACCACGCGACAGCCCAATTTTAGCCAGCACCCCTATATGTGCATGGTTCTATATGTGCATGGTTCTATATGTGCATGGTTCTGTAGTACGGTACTAGTATGCTTATAGTTGTCGACCAGGCATGAATTAAGAGTTACCGATGCTTACAGTACCGCTAAGCATACGGACGATGTTTTGAATTGTAAGATGCTCTTATAAACATAACTAGTAACTACTGTACCATAACACTACTTGTTTATCTGGCTTGTCATATGGTATGCTATCTGCAGCTCAGAAATTCAAGTATCAGCGTTGTGGAAAGAGTTATCAACTATAATCTTGTTGTATTGGCACGCTTGTCATCATGAGTGCCATGTGGAAATCACATTTAAGATTTCTCATAAGTGATTTCCAAGGTGCAAACAGGTCCTTTGAAACTCATCAGCCAGGGCTAGGCTTCGCTGAAGTTCTTCGGGGAAGGGATGATCACCGCCGCCACCCCTCAGGACCTATGACAGAGCTGTTTTGGGGACGCCTCAAAGACCATCCAATGTTGTTGTGAGGCTTCTGTGAGGCATGACCTAGTCAGATAAGAGCATGGTTTGTCGGACCAGAGCACAGAAGCCGTAGCAGAGCTAGCTGTTGATGCGAGGCGTGTTGTCGTGAGGTTAGGGCGTTGTTTGTCGGACCAGAGCACAGAAGCCGTAGCAGAGTTGGGAACAACTGTGAAGGCACAAATATGAGGGAGTGAGGTGTGTTGAGGTGTGCTGAGGTGTGTTGAGGTGTGTGGGGAAGTGAGGAGCCTCAGGCTCAGGTTAGAGCGTGGTTTGTCGGACCAGAGCGCAGAAGCCGTAGCAGAGCAGTGAACAGCTGTGTGTGTGTGTGTGTGTGTGTGTGTGTGTGTGAGAGAGAGAGAGAGAGAGAGAGAGAGAGAGAGAGAGAGAGAGAGAGAGAGATGGAGCGATGCAAACACCCAAAGAGCGACAAATGAGTAGAGCTGCTGTGCGCTCACTTACTCCATGTCTGAAGGTAGATCGAAGGTGGCGTTGGGAAAGTGGTGTGGCTTCTTGAACGAGGCGTGGGAGAAGGTCATTTGCTCCAAAGGCTCCTGAAGGGGTATGGAATGAGGGATGGAGCAGGGCAGAAAATGGGTTGGGTTGAAGGTGGTGTTAGCAAAGTGCTGAGACATCTTAAATGATACATGAGAGGATAATTTTCTCGAAAGGAGACTTTTGAGTCGACTCAAAAGTCATCTTATATGAGGCGTTAGAAGGTCCTTTGCTCCAAAGGCTCCTAAGAGGAGATGGTGTGAGGGGACAAGGGGTGAGCGATGGAGCAGGGCAGGGAATGGGTTCGATCGAAGGTGGTGTTGGAAAAGTGGCGGGGCTTCTTAAATGAGGCGTGAGAGAAGGCCATTTTCTCCAAAGGCTCCGGAGAGGGTATGTTGTGAGTGAGATAATGGGTGAGGGATGTGATGCGGTGAGGGATGTGGGGCGGGACAGAGCGAAGGATGTGGCCAGGGCTGGAAGAATGGCATGGAACTGGAAGAGAAGAAGATATGAAGCATCAAAATCTGCATTAAGTAGCCACCTACCCTCCTCTCTCACACACTAGCAGAAATGTCGCTGCGAATGCCTTAGCATGTAAATTCGCATGGAAACATCGTCCTCTGAATGCTGGAAGGAACTTTTGAAAGTTGACAAACTTTAAACGTGAGATTCGCATACTCACAAGCATCATCTAAATTGATGCCCTTACCATGTAAATTCGCATGGGGACATCGTCCTCTGAATGCCAGTAGTAGTTGTTCTGTAACCCCTGCTGCTTCCTGCTTGCTCGCATGAGATGTTAGGTGGCAGCACATTCAGATGGAAACACACAGGACCGGAAATGGTTGGCACATGCAACAACAAACTAAGACGTGTCGAGACTTTCGAGGCATCTCAAAAGGGGTGTTGAGATAGGATGGAGACCACAGCAGTGGCAGAAGCTAATGTGAATCAAACAAACAGGGGGTCCAGCAGACAGCAGGCCGCAGCTTTTTTTTTTTCTTGCTCGTTTGTTTGATTTTCTTTGCGTGTTTTTTTAGCTGTATTGAATAGCAGGCAGTGGCCAACAGGCGTCACCCCTCATCATCTCTCATCACCACTCATCACCCCTCAACATCCCGCACCATTTGGTAGAGGGCACGTCGTCCACGTAGTCCCGGCCCAGATACGTGGCATCGGCCAGCCAATCAGGGCGCACCACGTCACACCCATTGGCCGCAGAGCAGCAGCGGCAGCAGTACTGCGTGCAGGCAAGAGGGGAGGGAGGAGGGGGAGGGGCGAATGGAGAGAAACGATGATGGAGAGGGGATGGTGGTTGAGTTGAAAATAGTTGGGTTCGAACCGCAGCAAGCGTACTATGAGTCTGTATTTCAGGCGCGTCAAAAGCAGCAGTAGAGCGTGCAGCCAAGAGGGGGACGGGATGGGGGAAGGGGGGAGGGAGGGAGAGAGGAACGACAGGGAAGATGATGGACAGGGCATGGTGGTAGACACACGAGTCTGTGATTTTGAGAAGACAAGCCGTAGTGTGTGCAGTGCAGCCAAGACGAGCTGGTTTTTGAGAATTCTAAAAAACCGCAGAGCAGAAGCGGCAGCAGTCCTGCATGGAGCCAAGAGGAGGGGGGAGCGAGGATGGAGAGAAACGATGATGGAGAGGGGATGGTGGTAGACACATGAGTCTGTGATTGAGGCGCGTCAAAAGGAGCGGTAGTGTGCAGGCAAGAGGGGCGCATGCGTGCAGGCAAGGGTGGGGTGGCAGGCAAGGGTGGGGTGTGTGCAAGGGTGCGTGCAGGCAAACACTGTTGTGGTCTTATAAGAACAGAAGAGCCTTGTCCTGACCATGGAATTCACTTTGTTGTTACCTTGTCATGCTGGTGTTGTTGACGTGCTTCCAAAACCCCAAACAAAAACCCACGGTCTCGTTGGTAACAAGAAAATCCATGAAATATGCCTGGGTTTGAAATATGCATGGGTTTGAAATATGCCTGGGTTTGAAATATGCCTGGGTTTGAAATATGCCTGGGTTTGAAATATGCCTGGGTTTGAAATATGCCTGGGTTTGAAATATGGCTGGGTTTGAAATATGCCTGGGTTTGAAATATGCCTGGGTTTGAAATATGCCTGGGTTTGAAATATGCCTGGGTTTGAAATATGCCTGGGTTTGAAATATGCCTGGGTTTGAAATATGCCTGGGTTTGAAATATGCCTGGGTTTGAAATATGCCTGGGTTTGAAATATGCCTGGGTTTGAAATATGCCTGGGTTTGAAATATGCCTGGGTTTGAAATATGCCTGGGTTTGAAATATGCCTGGGTTTGAAATATGCCTGGGTTTGAAATATGCCTGGGTTTGAAATATGCCTGGGTTTGAAATATGCCTGGGTTTGAAATATGCCTGGGTTTGAAATATGCCTGGGTTTGAAATATGCCTGGGTTTGAAATATGCCTGGGTTTGAAATATGCCTGGGTTTGAAATATGCCTGGGTTTGAAATATGCCTGGGTTTGAAATATGCCTGGGTTTGAAATATGCCTGGGTTTGAAATATGCCTGGGTTTGAAATATGCCTGGGTTTGAAATATGCCTGGGTTTGAAATATGCCTGGGTTTGAAATATGCCTGGGTTTGAAATATGCCTGGGTTTGAAATATGCCTGGGTTTGAAATATGCCTGGGTTTGAAATATGCCTGGGTTTGAAATATGCCTGGGTTTGAAATATGCCTGGGTTTGAAATATGCCTGGGTTTGAAATATGCCTGGGTTTGAAATATGCCTGGGTTTGAAATATGCCTGGGTTTGAAATATGCCTGGGTTTGAAATATGCCTGGGTTTGAAATATGCCTGGGTTTGAAATATGCCTGGGTTTGAAATATGCCTGGGTTTGAAATATGCCTGGGTTTGAAATATGCCTGGGTTTGAAATATGCCTGGGTTTGAAATATGCCTGGGTTTGAAATATGCCTGGGTTTGAAATATGCCTGGGTTTGAAATATGCCTGGGTTTGAAATATGCCTGGGTTTGAAATATGCCTGGGTTTGAAATATGCCTGGGTTTGAAATATGCCTGGGTTTGAAATATGCCTGGGTTTGAAATATGCCTGGGTTTGAAATATGCCTGGGTTTGAAATATGCCTGGGTTTGAAATATGCCTGGGTTTGAAATATGCCTGGGTTTGAAATATGCCTGGGTTTGAAATATGCCTGGGTTTGAAATATGCCTGGGTTTGAAATATGCCTGGGTTTGAAATATGCCTGGGTTTGAAATATGCCTGGGTTTGAAATATGCCTGGGTTTGAAATATGCCTGGGTTTGAAATATGCCTGGGTTTGAAATATGCCTGGGTTTGAAATATGCCTGGGTTTGAAATATGCCTGGGTTTGAAATATGCCTGGGTTTGAAATATGCCTGGGTTTGAAATATGCCTGGGTTTGAAATATGCCTGGGTTTGAAATATGCCTGGGTTTGAAATATGCCTGGGTTTGAAATATGCCTGGGTTTGAAATATGCCTGGGTTTGAAATATGCCTGGGTTTGAAATATGCCTGGGTTTGAAATATGCCTGGGTTTGAAATATGCCTGGGTTTGAAATATGCCTGGGTTTGAAATATGCCTGGGTTTGAAATATGCCTGGGTTTGAAATATGCCTGGGTTTGAAATATGCCTGGGTTTGAAATATGCCTGGGTTTGAAATATGCCTGGGTTTGAAATATGCCTGGGTTTGAAATATGCCTGGGTTTGAAATATGCCTGGGTTTGAAATATGCCTGGGTTTGAAATATGCCTGGGTTTGAAATATGCCTGGGTTTGAAATATGCCTGGGTTTGAAATATGCCTGGGTTTGAAATATGCCTGGGTTTGAAATATACAACGGGAAGCTTCCTCACCTTGGCCTGGGGGAAGACGAGATAGCGCCACGAGTCCCGCACCACCTGGGTGCATGGCGTGGCCCTCAGAGGCAGCGCGGAGCTGCACGTGGGAGAGGGGTGGGGAGGGGTGGGGAGGGGTGGGGAGGGGTGATGCGAAGCTTAAAGAGAGGAGGGGAGGACCAGGTGGACGCATGGGTTGGCTGGACCTCAGGGGCAGGGCGGAGCTGCACATGGGAGAGAGTGAGATAGGGGTGGGGAGGGAGGGGGGTCCTTTAAAAGAACACCAGGTGGACGCATGGAGTGGCCCTGAGAGGCAGCGCGGAGCTGCAAGCGGGGGAGAGAGTGGGAACAAAGGGGAGGTGGGGGGAGGAGAGAGACGGTGCGATGCTTAAAGAGAGGAGGACCAGGTGGACGCAAGGGGTGGCCCTCAGAAGAAGCAGGGCGGAGCTGCACGCATACCGATGCAAAAGGGGAGGACGCAGATGGGGCAAGAGGAAAGAGGGCACGAGAGAGTGGTTGAAAGGCCGAGAGAGCGGTCGAGAGGACGCCTACGAGGCAGGACCAGGTGGACACATGGGGTGCTCCTCAGAGGTAGGGCGGATGATGGGGAGACATAATGATGGGGAGACATAATGATGGGGAGACATAATGATGGGGAGACATAATGATGGGGAGACATAATGATGGGGAGACATAATGATGGGAAAAGAGAAGACGATGAGCACAAAGAACCACATGCGGCCGCTCACCTGCAGTATCGATCCCCACACCACACCACACCTGCAGTATCGATCCCCACACCACACCACACCTGCAGTATCGATCCCCACACCACACCCGTCATTCTTCAGCAAGGGCTGAAGTTTTGTTTCATTCTGAAGTGCCCATAGAATCGCAAGCGCTCACTCACCCGCAGTATCGATCCCCCAGCCCGTTCCGGCGGTCGATGCGCTGCCTGCGCGTGGTGTAGTCGTACCACCAGGTGCCTTCCGTTGTCAGGGTGTACCAGGGGAGGTACATCTCCTGGAATGAACAAGGGGAGGTACATCTCCAGGAATGAACAAGGGGAGGCACATCTCCTGGAGTGAACAAGGGGTACATCTCCTGGAATGAAGGGGAGGTACATCTCCTGTGGTCAGGGTGAATGAGAGGAGGTACTTGGAGTAACGAGAGTAATTGATTTCGCTGGAGCGAACGAGGGGAAATACATTTCCTGGAGTGAACAAAGGGAGGTACATCTCTTGAAATGAACGAAGGGAGGTACATCTGTGGAAGTGAAAACGAGGAGTTACATCTCTTGGAGTGAACCAAACCTCAACCGTTACGGCATATAATTTGCCTTGTAACGAGGTGGGGGAGCACCGTTCACGCGAATCTCTCTCACCTCGTAAAAGTCAACTTGGAACCTTGACGGCCAAACAGGGGCGCGGGGGGCTTCCGCTGTAGTGTCACTCTCTGACCCTGCGCTTACTCCACCATCGACAGAAGAACCCTTCGCTATAGTCACTTGCTCGTGAATCCCAAGGCTCTTGGAATTAAGGCCTTCTTCTGACGTCATGAGAAGCTGGCTGGTGGCAGGTACGCGCGCCGCACTCGCGGGAAGCGAATGTGATAGTAACGAGGAAAGGATGTAGAAAAGTGAAGCAACCTCTACAACGGAAACTGAGAGCGGAAGGCGGGACGAGGAAATCCGGCAACGAGTCGCCATCCCTACAGGCGACGCTCTACCTATAGCCGACAGTCTACGACGGGAATTTACTTCAGGCGACAGACAGTGGTAAAGGTGACAATCTATGGATGTGGTGGAAGAGCAGTGAATGAACCTCCTTGCGGCAAACCTCGGAATCTCCTAACTGCGTGACGGATTGTGGATTGAATTTACATGTGCAGGGCTAGACATTAGCGGCTCCAAAGGGACACCTTCAAGTAAGCTTCTTGTTGGCTCAATTCGGTTTGGGGGTAACAAATGTAACGTACCCTCACAAAATTATTATCTCCCGTGCACCAACACCAGTTTACCAACACCAGAATTATTCTCATTTACTCAACACCTCTTGCATGAAAGGATTTTTTAATCATTCAGTACACTATCTAGCAGCAGACCATCTGTACCATGTGCTGCTATCGCACCTCACGATTACCAGCAATTCACTCCATTAATGCTGTTATACATGCCTTTCAAGCTCTGCTGCATCTCACATCACCTCCTCCACCTATTCAAGTCATGACCCCCATTCCTCCTCACTCCGCTGCCTTCTTTTTCTTCTTGGACGATCCAGTCGTCCCTGGCGTCGCCCCATCCTCCTCCTTGGCCTTCTTTTTCTTCTTGGCTGAACCATCACTGGCGCCCGGAGTTACACTCCCATCCGCTGCTGCATCCTTCTTTTTCTTCTTTTTCTCAGAGGCAGGGGTCACCGGCGCTGCTGCTTCCTCCTTTGCCTTGCCTTCCTCCTCCCTATCACGCTTTTTCTTCTTTTTCTTCTGAGGAAAGGCACAAGCAAGGGGGAAAGAACCATGCACCAAGGACCAAGGGAATTGTTGAACGACATGTGGTTTGAAAGGCATGCGAGGGCGTGCAGGACAATCAACAGGTAGAAAAAGATCTACCTTTCTTCAACAATTAAACAGACCAAACCAAACCTGCTTCGTCAGGGGATTATGCGCAATACAAACCCAACTGAGAGCAACAGCAGCACACCCTCACCAACCAAGGCTCTTTCCCCAAACCACAACACACCTCGGTGGAGGGAGGCTCTGCCCCGTCGGCATCAACACGGGCGGCAGCAGAGGGAGTGGCCTCGCCGTTCTCCTTGTCCTTCTTGGCCTTCTTCTCCTTCTTCGCTTTCTTAGCCGACTCCTCTCCGGCTGCTGGTGTTGCGTCTGTCGCTGGGGACTTGGCTGTCAGCAGCGCATCAGATGCGGGGTTGTAAGCCTGCAGGGGGGAGACAGAGGGAGGGAAGCGAAGGGAGGGGGATAGAGAGCGAGGTGAAGTGAAGCGAGCACTATCTGTGTGAAGCGATGCCCGAAAGAAAAACAGTTTTGAAATAACTCAAAAGACACTCTATCCAGAGCTGTGTGGCGCGATGCTTGTAAGAAGCACCCGTAAATGCCTCAACTCCCCTGCCTTCACCATGACCGCCTCTGTGGCCCCAAGACCGGAATTACCTTAGCAGGGGTGATTAGCCCGCCCGTGCCCTCCTTCCTGTCCTTGTCGTACGCCCCCAGCTTCGCCTTGCCCTTACTCGCTGCACTCGCACTGCCCAACACCCGCCCCTCCAGCTGCCGCAGCCGCTGCTCAATCTGTTTGTCAATCACACGCAAAAGGGGAGAAACGGACAGAGGAGAGTCAGGACAATGCAGACATGAGCGGATGGCAGCACCAGAAGCTGTCGCTTTGAAAGAATGCATGCCCTTAATCCCACTGTGTTCCTTTTCCTCCCCCTCACACGCACCTTAGCACGCCCCTCAATCCCAACAGTGGGCTCGGTGGCATCACCCAGGGCGTCCACGCGGATAGCAAACGAGCACTTGGCGGCCAGCACACGTGAGATCTTGCCCTTGAGCTTGGGGGGCGCCTGGCCCTTTCCCTTTCCTTTCCCTTCTTTGCCAACCCACTCCCCCCCTGTCCCACACACCTTGGCGCGGCCTTCAATCCCAACAGTGGGCTCGGTGGCATCACCCAGGGCGTCCACGCGAATTGCGAGAGAGCACTTGGCAGCCAGCACACGCGAGATCTTGCCCTTGAGCTTGGGGGGCGCCTGGCCGATGAGGGACGCGTGGAAGATGAGCCCGTACTTGGGTGTATCGTGCTTCGTCTTGAGCGCACGGAACAGAGCCTGTCAGGTAGGTGAAGTAGGAATGGAGAGACGCGGAGCAGAGGAGTTGGAGGAGGGAGAAAGGGGGTATATGGGGGCGTGGAAGGAGGGTGATACTCAGGTGTGCGTGCGACTGTGCGGCCACTACCATACATACAACACAATTGTTGTGGTCCTACTTGAGGGGCTGGTGTGAGAGATGAGAAATAAGAGAGACGGGCTCTCTCCCACCAGCCCCCCCCCTACCAGCAGCAACGAAAGTGGTGGCAGGCTTACCTTCTCAGCGCCTAGGATCTGAACGGTGGAGGCGGGGTGCTTGGCCAGACTCATCAATGACCCCGCGTGCGCGATGAGACGCGCCCCCACGAGCTCGCCCACCAGCACCGTCAGGTTGGGCGCAATAGCCAGCATTCGCGAGCGCAGGTAGTCGAAAAGCTGCGCGCGGTACTCTGAGAGCGCGATGACCTGAGGGGAGGGGGGAGGGGGAAATGAGGGGGATGGGGGCGGAGAAGGAGAGGTTGCACGCAATGGCCGCATGCACGAGCGCAGGTAGTCGAAAAGCTGCACGCGGTACTCCGAGAGGGCGATCACCTGGGTGGGGGGGGGGGGGAAGGGGAGGTTGGGGGGAATTAAGGGTGGGAGGGAATAAGGGGGTAATGGGGGGCAGAGAGGAGCGGATTGGGCGCTATGGCCAGCATGCGCGATGTCAGGTAGTCGAAGAGCTGCGCACGGTACTCCAACAGGGCGATCACGTGGATGGGGGGGGGAGGGGAGGGGGGGGGGGGGGGGAAAGGATGAAGAGGAGGAATGAGACGAGTCAGTCAGTCGGACGACAAGGATGGGTGAGAAAGTAAATGAAATGAACGTATACAGCTTCACTACAGCCGCATTGTCAGTGTGGCAGCCTCGTGGTGAGAACGTCATCAAATTAACGTGGCTGGCAGCCATTTTGCTTACGTTGACCAGCAGCATTGACCTGCCTGCGTTGACCAGCAGCATTGACCTGCCTGCGTTGACCAGCAGCATTGACCTGCCTGCGTTGACCAGCAGCATTGACCTGCCTGCGTTGACCAGCAGCATTGACCTGCCTGCGTTGACCAGCAGCATTGACCTGCCTGCGTTGACCAGCAGCATTGACCTGCCTGCGTTGACCAGCAGCATTGACCTGCCTGCGTTGACCAGCAGCATTGACCTGCCTGCGTTGACCAGAGAGTGTGACCTACCTGGTCGCAGAGCGCGATGATGTTGGTCATGTCGTGCTCGATGACTTGCATTGAACCTGTTGACCTGCGTTGACCAGATCGTGTGACCAACTGACCTGGTCGCAGAGAGCAATGATGTTGGTCATGTCGTGCTCGCTGACCTCCGTCCCCATGGAGATCACCGCCGCATCCTTCATTGCCGACTCCACATCCTCCTCCAATATCTGGTGTGAGGCACAGGCGGATGGGGGGAAGGGGAAGAACGGGAGATAGATGCATGGGTGAATACAGCGAGATGGATACATCACTTCAGACTGCAGCCATGACATGTATCACGAGCGGAAGGGGGAGAGGAGGGGGAGGAGGAGGGGGGAGAGGAGGGGGAGGAGGAGGGAGGAGAGGAGAAGGGACGAAACTCACCCCGGAAAAGTCGAGGTCAGCAGCGTTGACGCGGTGGGCCATGAGCTTGACGGCGCGCGCGTACTGCAGGTTGTCCGAGACGATCTTGGCGAGCTCGGGGAAGTGCCACCCGTACCACTCGCGCACGCGCATGGCGTACGTGTTCAGCTCCTTGTCTAGGTCGTCCAGCAGCCCGATGGCCTGCACTATCATCGTGTCCACCTGCAGTGAACGGTTGGAGAGGGGTTGGGGGCAGTTTGGGGTGGTTCAGAGGAGACTAGGTGTTCAGTTTGTTGAGCTCCTTGTCCAGGTCGTCCAGCAGCCCGATGGCCTGCACTATCATTGTGTCCACCTGCGATCAATTGGGAAAGGGGTGTTTGATGGAAGGAGGATTTTGATTGACAGTAGAGGCGCCTCGACAGGCGCACGCGCATGGCGTACGTGTCGAGCTCCTTGTCCAGATCGTCCAGCAGCCCGATCGCCTGCATTATCATCGTGTCCACCTGCGTTGAACGGGATGTGTTGATCGTGGGTGGTCAGGGAGGGGAGGGAGGAAAAGTGGGTGGCTGGGGTTAATGGAAAGTGGTTGTTGGATCGTGTGAGGCACATACCATCCACCCACCCATGCGAGGCGGATCATGAATACACCAACCAACTATTCGCTTTGTACTTCAATGTCGTGCATGCATACATGCATGCAGGAAGGGGTACCTTGTCGGGAGAGAACTTGAGCTTGTAGCGAGACGGGCTGTGGCTGAGCCCCACCCCAGGCTCATGGGCGCATGCGCTTCACACACCACAGATCCACAGGATGTACCTTATCCGGCGAGAACTTGAGTTTGTAGCGGGACAGGCTGTGGCTGAGCCCCAGGCTCATGGGCGCAAGGTCCGTGCCTGACAGCCCTGCGATGAGCTCCGAGAGGTGCGAGCGCACTCCGCGCATGAGCTCCATCACCGCTGCGTTGTGGACGCATGTCACTCCCTGCATGGACGCACAGGCAGAGGGAATGGGGGAGAGAACGACAGAGGGAGAGGGAGAGTCAGGGAAGCGTGGTCGGATTTGAGGGATGCGAGAGCACTCCGCGCATGAGCTCCATCACCGCTGCGTTGTGCACTGCACGCATGTCAGTCCCTGCATGGGCGCACAGGCAGAGGGAGTGGGGGGAAGACAATGAGGTCGGCGCCTGACAGCCCTGCGATGAGCTCCGGAAGGTGCGAGCGCACCGCGCGCATCAGCCCCAGCATCCCCGCGCTCTGCAAGCACATCACTCCCTGTCGCGCGTGGAGAAGCACGGAGGGAGAAAAAAAGAGCGGGAGCGGCAGAAAGAAATCTGAGAGGTGTCAAAGCCCCTCCCGTACCAGTGCCAGTGGCCTCTTACCACCGATGCCACTTTGATTCGAAATTTTCTGGCAGTGACACAGCGCCTTCACAATTTTTTTGCTCGATACCCTTGCTCGGCCTGCTCTCCACTCCACCATACTTCTTACAATCCCACACACCCCCTTTCTTATCACAATCCTTCCCTCATTCCCAACCTCCTTCGAATCACGTTCCCTCTGCCAATCCCAATCCCCTTTTCAACCGCGTCCTCCCCCTTCCCCCGCGCGCCAATCCCCGCACCAGTTTCTCTTTGATAATGTTGCCAAGTTTTGAGTTGGCGACGGCGAGAGTCTCGCCCTGGCACTGCGACTTGACAAATATCTTCAGCCCCTTGCTCACCTTGCTCTCCACTCACATTTCCCCAGTGCCCCCCATACTCAACCCCTTCCCCCCCCGTCCCCCGCACCAATTTCTCTTTGATAATGTTGCCAAGTTTAGAGTCCGCCACGGCGAGCGTCTCGCCCTGGCACTGCGCCTTGACGAACTTCTTCAGCCCCTTGCTCAGCTTGCTCTCCACCAGCGCCGTCGCCGCGCCCAACGCGTCCGCCGTGTTCTCGAACTTGTCGAACGCCTTCAGCTTCACCACCTGCGGAGAGAAAAGAGGATGTGGGGGAAGAAAGAGGGATTAGCGGGGCCTAAATAGCGCTCAGCGCGTCAACCGTGTTCTCGAACGTGTCGAACGCCTTCAGATTCACCACCTGCAGACGGAAAAAGGGGATGGGGGGGAGGAGAGGGGTTAGCGGGGCCTAAATGGAGCTCAAGACGTACGCCGCGTTCTCGAACTTGTCGCCTTCAACTTCACCACCCGCAGCGAAGGGAAGGTTGGTGGAGAAGGTTAATTGGGACGGACCGGGGAGAGGGGGACGGGGGCTTGGTCATATGGAACCGAGCTCTCCTCTCATTCTCTTTCCCCCGCTAAAGCCCACCGCATGTTGTCGCATTTTCCACCTTACTCTCTCCTTGCAGATCAAACTCCCCTAAAACTTCGCAAAAAAAATATACGCCTGGTTACCAATCTGCTCCTTGGCACCACTTGCCTTGCTGGCGCTTTCCGACGACTCGAAGTGCGTCCAGATGTCCTCGACCTTGTCGAGCTTCTTGTCGTCTAGCACCTTGAACAGGGCGAACCCCGCCGGGGTCTCGAACAGAAGCAACATCGCGACGGCGACGGGTGCCGGATTTTAAATTTGGTTCTGCGGGGAACAACGCAGGGATTCAGTAGAGCCAATGTCAGTGTAGGTACTAGCGGCAATGCCAATGCGACCATCGTCGCGAAAGCTGCTGACGGCGATGGACGAGAGATTAAGGAAGGATGCTATACGTGCGAAGAGGAGCACGAGAATTCACGAGAACTAACGAATAGAAGGGATGCCCTCTACGAATAGAAAGGCACGAGGCCTAAACTCTACGAATGAAAAAAACTGAAACCCTGATGGCCGTCTCAGGATTCCTCAGCACATCCAAACTGACGCTTATTTACGTGACTATTAGCACCCTAACGCTCAAGAAAGCGACTTTTGGCACGGTAAAGGCTACTTAGAAGAGTATTACCCTCACAGTCGCGGCAATTTGTCGCTGTTTGCGTTCCATCAGTTCCGTCAGTGCCTGTTGCCTGTCGCACGTTTTCCGTCGACGGAACCTACCTTGATGAAGAAAGTCGCAGAAATATTAGAGTCTTCGATCTTCTTTTAATTATCGAGCGAATGCAGGACCACGAAAAGCGGAAGAAAATAAGCTCTTGTGTCGTGCCTGCTAAAGCCCTGAGACCAGGAACAAGATTTTCAGGTTTCCAGGTTTCTCCGAAGAGAAAGGGAAAATTGAGCGGGAGGGGAGAGAGAGAGAGGGGGAAGAGGAGGATGTGGAGGGAAGAAAAAAACCTCGAGGAGGGAAGGGAGGAGGGAGGTTGGGCTCCAGAGACAATTCTCGACCTCGATACAGTGCACCGGCGTTATGGCTTGAGTAAACTGCACACGAAGCACATTTGCTTGGACTAACTTTTTGTCCAAACGAAACAATGGGGCACTGTATAATTTTCATCTCCCATCCCAACCATTTTCTACTCAAAATCACAGGCAACAGGGTTTCATCTATATCAGCAGTGTTCAGACACCCTCGCCAGTCGATGCGGTCTCATCCTTGTCAGACAGCAGCACGAGCCGCGTCTCTCCCCGCTGTCTTCCCGGATTTTTGCAGATAATGAAGCTAGAACCGCCGTGGGAGGGGCTGAATTTCCCTCAGTCGCCGCAGCCGCAACGGCGGCAGCAAGAAGGGCACAGCCAGCAGCAGCAGCAGCAGCAGCCGCAGCCGGCGCAGAAACGCCGGCAGGTTGAGGAACAGCGGGAGCAGCATCTTGAACGCGCCGCATATGACGGACAGCGTGCTCGCCACCATAGGTCGCAGCAGGGAGAGCAGCAGCAGCGTCAACCGGAGCCGCAGCATCTTGACATGCGCGCACGTGACGGGCTCGGGCAGAGTCCTCGCCAGCAGCACTCGCAGCACTCGCAGCAGGCGCATCGCCCACCTCGTCGCGAACACCTTCGCGAGCTCTCGCAACAAATTCGGAAAGCGGTGCGCGAGGGGCAGCGCGCGGAGGGCGGGCGCAGGCGCAGGCGCGCGGAGGAGCAGGTCGACGCGCTCATGGCGGAATACCACGCGCTAGGCGGCGCGCCTGCCACGTGGATGTACGCGGCGCGAATCCAGCTGTGCCTGGTGAAGGGTGCCACGTGGCGCCGACTCGGGAGGGGGAGGTTTCAACTGGGGGATGCGGAACCTGCGCGGAAGATTTTGGACGGGGGCGCATCGGGGGAACGCGAGGGGGAAGTGGGGTTAGGGGAAGGGGAAGCGTCAGGGAGGCAGCGAGTAGCGTTGCGACAGCTGGCGCGCGCGCAGGAGCTTTGGCAGGAGATGCGCGCCCGTGGCCTGCAAGCAGACAAATACGCCGCCTCCGCAATGATTGCGGTGTGCGGGCGGGCGGGCAGGGCGGATGAAGCGGAGAGGGTGATGGCAGGGGTGGCGCTGGGGGGGAGTACGGTGCGAGGGAGTACGGTGGGAGGGAGTACGGTGGGGGGACAGGTGGAGCTGGGGAAGGTGTCTTCTGATGCTGGAGTGGCTGATGATGCAAGGAGCCGTGAAGCAGGCATGGGCGGGCTCAATGGTGGCTTGAATGGCAACTGGAATGGTGGTTCAAAGAATGGTCGTTTCAATGGACGGTTCAACGATGGACGGTTCAACGATGTGGTGGTGTGGAATGCACTGGCAGATGCGTGGAGCCGAAGCGGGGATGCAGTGCGGTCTGAAGAGGTGCTCTCACGCATGCTGCACGCACACTGCCCGCCCAACCTCGTGAGTCTTGACGCTGCTGCTGCTGCTGCTGCTGCTGCTGCTTCTTCTGAACAGCCATTCCCCTTGCTGCTGCTTCACCTTGTTTTCAATGCTGGCTTGATAGCCATTGACTCAGTGCGATTGCTGGCCTCACAGGAAACCAGTATCACAGCCATTCACTCGTGACGGGGGAGGAGCTTCCTCTCAATCAAGGCACCCCTGCGCTCAACGTCCATAGGGTCTCCCATATATGTGCTTCCTTGTTCCGCCCATGTGCTTGCTCCATTCCGCCCACATGCATGCAGCGGAGCTACAACATCATTCTCAATGCCTACGCCAAGAGCATCTCGCCAGTCAGTGCCCATGGCAATGAGCATGGGGATGAGCGTGACTATACTACTGGGAGAGACAATGATCATACAGGGGCGCAGTGGGCGGATGGATTGATGGTTCTTTTTTGCGCCCTTTCCTCGTCCTCTCCCCATCCCCCCATCACTCCCCATCTTCCGTTCATTCCCTCCTGCAGGCCTCCATCTCTTCCCTCACTGCTGCATTTTATCTCGCCCCCTCTCATCAGTATCGTGTCCCCATCATCCCCTGTCACACCCCATCCCCTCTGCCTCCCTTCCCCCACTCCTCCCCACAACAGGCCTCCATCTCTTCACTCACTGCCGCCTTCCGCCTCGCCCCCTCTCTGCCTCTCGACCTTCTCGCGTCCCTGGCGCCCACTCCGCTCCCTCCACGTCAGCCAGCCTATCAGACGCAGACAGATCAGCTTCCTGGCCCCTTGCAGCAATCTGCAATACAGCAAAATCATCATCATCATCAGCAGCAGCAGCAGCAGCAGCAGCAACGTCAACTGTATCCCGGTGCTGCTGGTGCTCCCACGCCCACCTCTGTACAGTCACACTCCACCTCTGTACAGTCACACTCCACCTCTGTACAGTCACCATCCACCTCTATACAGTCACACTCCTCACTCTCATTTCCTTCTGTACAGTCACCTCGCACTACCAGTGCGTCAGTCATTGAAGCAGCCAGCAGCCAGAAGCAAGACAAGGACCCTCGTTCCTCCCTTTCCCCCTCCACACTCTTGAGCTCATCCCCATCCTCCCACTCTCATCCCACCTCACCCTTTCTGAGTATGAACAAAGCACCACAACAAAACAGTATGGATTTCCGTATCTGCCAATCCCTTATCTCGGCCACCATTCCAAGCTCGCCTGCAACACCCCCTCCCTCACCTCGCACCGCTCCTATAAGCCCTCCCCCGCTTCCCCCCGCCACCTCTGCTCCCACTGAACCGGGCCTGTTTTCTAGGCTCGGCCCGTGGCTGCAGCAGTGGTTCGGGGAGCCAGCAGCCACGGCACTAGCCGCACAGGAAGCTCAGGGGACTGCTGGAATGGGGGCGAGGGGGGGTTGTGCTGGTGAGGTGTCGAGATATGGGGCAGGCGAGATAGGGAGTGAGCGTGGAAGAGGTGGTGGGGGGAGGGGCGAGTTGGGAGTGAGAGGGAGAGCTTGGGAGGGCAAGAGCATCGGGGAGAGGGTATGGGAGGCAAGTGAGGGCATGGGGGAGAGGGTACAGGAGGCAAGCAAGTGCAAGGGGGTGGAGACTGTGGATTTGCATGGCTTGTCTGCCATGCAGAGCAGACTCCGACTCATGGATGCCCTCCTCCCTCCCTCTCTCTCTCCCTCACTCCCTCCCTCACTCCCTCCCTCTCTCCCTCACCCGCACCTGCACACACACCCTCACTCGCCCTCGGATTTTGATTTGCCTAAAAGAATGGCAATTCCCTCGGTGTCCCTGCCAGCTTTAGAGAGTGAGCGGGTACGGCTCTCCTCTCTGGCTCGTTTCACGGCACTGGAAGCACCTCAGAAGCAGCCTGCCCCAGATGTACCTCAGAAGCAGCCACTGTTTGTGCAACAATCTACCCTGGCAGCAGCATCAGAGGCAGCAGCATCAGCAGCAGCAGCAGCAGCAGCAGTGGGTGAGGGAAAGGGTGGTGGAGGCACTTTCTCTGCCCACGCCAGAGGGCTCGTCATCATCACCGGAGCTGGCAGGTCCGTTCCGGGCCTCTCAAACCCTGCTTGCTTCCTACCCCCATCTCTTGCATGGGCTGCCTACCTGCAATGCCTTATATGGGCTTCCTACCTGCAATGCCTTATTGCGTTTGATTCCGATCACTCCCAGAGTGCAAATCGGGTGCCTCTTACATATTCCCTGGTGTTCGAGTGTGCATGCAGTCAACTGGCTCTCTTTCTCAATCTCATTCTGTCTTGATCAACCACTCCCCTTGTGTCTGTATGCCTGTGTGACTGTATGTTCTTGTGACTGTATGCCTGTGTGACTGTATGTTCTTGTGACTGTATGCCTGTGTGACTGTATGTTCTTGTGACTGTATGCCTGTGTGACTGTATGTTCTTGTGACTGTATGCCTGTGTGACTGTATGACTATGTGACTGCACGCCCTTGTAACTATGCCCCTGTGACTGTCTCCGCCGTTTGCATGTGTGTGACTGTGACTGTGACTGTGACTGTGACTATAAGCAGGGGGCGCTCCTTTGTGAGAGAGGCTGTCATGCAGCAGCTATCAGGCCTTAGGTGGGTAGAAACCCAGTTTCTCCTTTTGAGTTTCATGTGGGTATAAACCGACATGTCCCTTCCAAGAATCAGGTACCGGTAGGTATTTACCCAAATGTAGGTCGGTATGAACGTTAATTCCAAGCCTAAGGGGTCAGTATGTGCCTTTTCATGCTTTGATCATACACCTACTTGTTCATTCCGCTCATTTCCTTCATCATACCGCCCGCGTCATTTGATGACATGCACAAGAGCATGTATTGGATCTCCCTCTAAATCGTTTGGATTTTGTTGCTCAATGGATCAAATTTTGCACCTCTAACGGTTGTTTGTCTTAATGCGGTGGGGGGTACAGGCACGATCACACATGTATATAGGCAATGTGAATATAGCCTCGTGTTTTCTCCTCTCTCTCCTTTTCCCCTCCCTCTCTCCTTTTTCCCTCAGGTTGCCTTTTGAGGCCCATCGCAGCACAATCACTCTGCTTCCAGAGACCCTTTCAGCCTTCCGAGCAAAGAACCAGGTAGCATTTGGTGTACTATGTATCTACCCTGTGCCATCTGGTTGTGTTACATTTTCATTTGCCCTTTTCCTCGTTTAGAACCCAATGCGCTGCGTTCTCTCTATAGCTTATTAGTTTCACTGCATTGTTTGGTTCCATTCTCATTACGAGCTCATTCTTTCCTTGTCAACTTCCTATCTGTGGCATTGGTTGTATTAGGAGCGTCAGCATGTGAATGCGTGGATGCGTCTAGCCATTGGTAGATATGGCTCTGTGGTAGCTGGTATCGGAGCCCTGTTTACAGTTCCATTGCTGATTCAGCACTACGCTCGAGCCAGCGCCTGATGTTTCAAACAACAGGAAAAATAGAAATCTGATATTACCATATGTGTTCGAACAAAAATAGTACACATAGTACCTCTTAGTGTTCTCCCCAGGACACTCAAGCTGAAACACGGCTGGAGCTGCCGTTCCTCACATACTGCCTTGAGGGGGGGGGAGGGTAAACTTAGCTCTCCGCCCGAGATGCCCGCATCACCGAAGGAATCTCGACTCGTCCTGAAAATCCGCCTTTCGCCTTGAATGTGAATTGATGATTGGGTGAAGTAGTTCGTAACTGTGCGTAAGATTTTCAAGCGAAACAGTTTTGGCAGTTGCACAGCACGGTATCGGATGACTGCTGGTTGGACGATTCCAGCCAGTGACGCAGGGGGCAAGGAAGAACAGGCAGAGACTGACAGCAGGGCGAGGGAGAGTTGAAGGTTTGGAATTGGAATGGGGGGGAAGTGCAAGTGGATGTGGGGGCGGAGCGCGACACTCGGTTCGGGAGGAATGGAATGGGAACGAAGCTTGAGTGCAACACCCTTCCGATTTTTTTTTATGGAACCGGACTTCACCGATCATTTATCCATAAATTATCTTCCTCTTGCTTCCTCCGTCCGCTATGTCGCTGCTGCCGTCGTGCTGCCTGGTGCCATTCCATTCCGTCCTCCCTCCATGCACCTCCGGTGCACTTGCGATGCGATGCGGTGTGTCTATCGGTCTGCCTGCTTCTTCGTCGTCTTGGAATTCTTCCTATTCTAGTCCACCGCAGCAAGTTGCGCACGCTCAGCATACCAGCCTGGCAGCCTATAACCTCTCCCAATTGCGCCATGGCCTGCGCTGTCAGAATCGGAACGTGACTCAGTTGAAGGAAGGGACATAGCATTTGTCAAGTAATGACGTGCTGACTCAGCATCTTTGATGCTTACAGTTACAGCACAGTGTACAGTAGAGCTGTAAGAAGCACCTTTCTTGAACGGAACCTAAGGCTGAGTGAAAGCCGAGTGGCTCAATGGATAAAGACGAGAAGTTCCCTTGAACCTGAATACCTTATTCAAACACCACAGGACTTGCTTGCACAACGCCTTGGAAATATCTAATATACCGTAGCTCCGCAACTCCCGCAAGCTACTCTAGCGCTGAACTAAATACGCCTGCAATACAAATATTAGTTTCATTCGCGGCCTCACGGTCTCTCTCAGCAAATCACAACAATTTTAGTTTCTCCGACACTCTCAGACAAGTAATCTGCAATTTACATGCAATGGCTCCTCGGGTCTCACCCACCGAACCACAAGTTATCGCCACTTCATGCACAGACTTTACCGCCTACGATAACCTTTGGGAGGCTTGTCCCGCGGCCGCGACTCGCGGTTGTACAGGAAGCGCTACTGTAAGAGACGAAGACGTGGAACTGGCATCGCTGGAAGGAAAACTCCATCTTCTAGACCTTCAACGCCAGCTGAGCGCCGTTAAATGCCAGAGCTTCATCGAACGGTTGCGATCCGCAACGGAACGGACACCCGACTCTGACGACGAATCAGACGTCGCCACGCTGGCATGCCATTTTGAAGCTCGAACAACTTCTGCTCACTGTCAACAAGATCATAGGGAGGAACAATCTTCGTCACCTATATTTCGTCACTGCGCGAGCGGCAAACACGGCAGCTGTTCCTGCCTGGAAAGCCGGCCTCGCTCTATCAGGCGCCATGCGTCGCTCGACGTCGCGGCGCATCTCGCGATCAGCCATTCCTGGGCGAACGACTTAAACTTCTACGCCGAGCCCGGCACCGCGCCGCGTAGAAGTAACTCTCACTCCCCGCGCTATCCGCACAGCATCTCGCACCCGCTGGCGTCATCATACCCCGGCGCGCATTCCAGTCCGCGGCGCACCAGCTCCGCGCGGTCCAGCTCCAGACCCCCCCGACGCGTCAGGACTGCGGAGCGTGCTTCCGCCTCCACCGCGCGCGGAGCAACACTGTTCCCTATTCTGTAAAGAAGTGCTTCACTCCTCCTTCCTCCTCACTCCGGACTCTTGAACTACAATATAATTGCTGATTAGTTTTTTTAAGCGGGACTGCAGTACCGTAAGCCCCCGGATAGTAGCTCCCCTGGGGGTATAAAAAAACACTGTTTTTAAGGGGGTGCGCTTATAATAGAGGAAATTTATAAGCGCCGGCGTTTATAAAATGGCAAAAATGAAATGGTGAGAATTAACATGAAATTGAAGCTTTTTTAGAAGGGGATTCAATGCACATCTAGAACGTTCGTAACCGTGCATGAAAAGCGCGTCAAATGGCCAACAAGTTGTGGAATCACGCCCATGACGCCTTGCTGGCCTGGCCAGATTCATCGAACATGAATCTGGCCCATGCCAGCGCACACGTAGTTTAGGGTGCGACTGCCCAATCAGGGTCGCATGCCGTGCCAGGCAAGACTCTGTACAACCACGCAATTGGCAGAAGCGGCAAGATTCCACTCCACCGAGGCATTGACTTCACCACCTCAGCTCCTTTGCGGGGGGATCTTGACAGTTTTCCCCCTTTCCCTGCAGAGGAGCCCGAGCCGCGAAGTTTACAAACGAGGCTCATTCTCGTCGTTTTTTTTTTCAGTTTTCTTGTTTTCCCTCGGCCTGCCTAGGCCATGGCGGGCCTTCCAGGCACTCACTTCCTCTTTAGCCGCGGACCTGCTGTTGGCAACACTCGCTATTACTCTCAGTGGCAGAGTCGCCCAGCGCCTCCTGCTCCTCCAGCGCCTCCTGCTCCTCCTGCTCCTCCTGCGCCTCCTGCTCCTCCAGCGCCTCCTGCTCCTCCCGCTCCGCCTATCGTCGTCATCAACGGTCAGCCCGTTCTGCAGCTCCTCCCTCGCGGTTACTCAGCTTTCGACGCGTACATCTCCGAGCCCGAGCGCAGCGGCGACAATGAACCCAGCCCCGGTCTGTCGCCACGCTGGGGAGACGCGGAAGACTGCCCGTACGACGAATCCGCCACTGGTGCTGAAGACGATGTTGAGTGGTGGGCGGCCGACGGTCTTCCCGAGGACCTGCCTGTCCCTAGTTCCCCCCTGCCAAATAAGAAACGGCCCCACCCCTCCAAACAGAATCGTGATGCCCGCCCCCCGTCCCCCAGGAGCAAGCCTTCAACGCAGAAGCGCAACTCCTACACTTCCCAAGAGAAGCTGCAGTGGATTGCAAAGTTGGAGTCCGGAGCTGTGAGTGTGCGGAGAATGTCCCGCGACACTGGTATCTCCTGAAAGTCCCTGTCAGAGTGGAAGTCGCGGAAGGGTGAGCTGGAAGGTGCGCATGGGGCTCGCAAGCGCCTTCACGGGCGTGGTCGGTCGTCGTGGTACCGGGACATGGAGATCGAGGTGTACTCACGTGTTCTTGCCCACCGGAAAAAGTGTCTCGCCGTGTCTGTCGGCCGACTGCAGAAGTGGTCACACGAGGTGATGAAGATACTGCATCCTGATGTAAAGTGGGCTGGATCTCAGAGGTGGACTGAGCGTTTTCGACAGCGCTGGAACCTCACTACCCGAGCGAAGACCATAATTGGCCAGAAGCTGTCGTCTGGTGAGTCGGTGTTTGTGCTGTCGCTCTCGTTTATGGCTGATTACGACCTTCGAAATTCTAATTTTCTTCTTTTGTTTGTCTCTCCCACCCTTCCCTTGCAAAGTGTGAGACACAGGTGCAGAACTTCTGGAAGTTCGTGCGACACTCCCGCGGACAGTATGGCATCGACAACCGTTGGATTATTAATGCCGATCAAACGCCACTCTGGCTCGAGATGCCAGCTGAACGCACCGTCGAAGAGGTGGGGATCTGCTCTGTGCCCATCCGCAGCGGCGGCTATAATAAAGAACGCGTGACGGTGATGCTCGCCTGCACCGTCAGCGGCGAGAAGCTCAAGCCTTGGGTCTTCTTTAAGCGCAAGACAATTCCTAAGGGAAATTTCCCCTCCGGTAAGCCGAGCAGCTTGTGCAGTGACGATGTCATTTGCAAATGATGATTTTTTTTATGTCTGCTAATATGTCCGTACGCCTTGTTCGGATGTGCAGATGTTGTGGTCGCCGCACATCCCAACGGTTGGATGGACGCGGACGGCATCCTCGCGTGGCTCGTCGGGACGGTGAACCCGTGTGTCAACCCCAGGTTCGGAGTACGAAGCAGGAAGGTGATGTTGGTTCTTGACTCCTACCGCGGGCACCTCACTGATGCTGTGAAGGCGAAATTCCGGGAGCTGAACACCGTCCCCGCCGTCATACCAGCTGGCTGCACCTCTGAGATCTAGCATCTTGACGTCGCGGTGAACCGCTCATTCAAAGCAGCAGTCCGACAACTTTACCAGGAGTGGTTCGAGAGCGAGGGGGTCGACTCCCTGACCGAAAGAGGTGAGCTCAATCCCTATGTGTACGATGTGTCTGCTCTTGACTATTTCCACCCTGTTCTGATTGCTGTTGTGTTTCCATGTGTGGCAGGTAACATCAGCAAGCCACCTCCAAAGCTGACGCTCAAGTGGATCTCCAGGGCCTGGAAGTGTGAGAATAATGAGAGGAATGAATGAACTAGAAAGCAGATGGGTACAAGTAGAAAACACAAAAGTGTTGTACCCTCTAAGAACTACCCCACTACAGCCTAAACAGACTATAGCATATATAAGTTTGACACACCCCCATAGGCAAAGTGGGGGAGAACAAGAGGTCACAAGACCAGTCAAAAAAGGCAAAGTAAGCTCAGGGTGGATCACAAAGTCACCACGCAGTCTGAGCACAAGCAAATGGCCACAAGGCCAGTTCACATGCAGAGTTATATAGAGAACAAACAATACAGTGAATACAACCTAGCAAGTGTAAGCATGCAGGTATATGTATAAAGAGTACAGTCCAGGCAGAGTCAAGAAGAAAGCAAGTGAGGCACAGTAGGTACAAGGCCTAACACAGTACAGAAACGCTGATGATCACAAGGCTGAAGTGCCTTGGTGAAAACATCAGCAGTGTTGGCCTGAGAGGCCACGTAAGCAAGACGAAGCTGGCCACGCTGCTGCAACTCTCGAGCAAGAAAGTAGCGCAGAGCAATGTGCTTCGCTCTGTGCTCCAGTCTGTGCTCCTGACACAAGGCCAGCATGGCCTTGTTGTCGACGTACAGAACTGGAGGAGAACGAGGCGCCTCTCCCAAGTCGGTCAGCAGGTA